TTCCTTGGCCAGGTCAGCTCAATTCCAGCGAATGAATACAAGGGTGTCACATAACACTCGGATGCATTGGGAAAAGCGGAAAGCACGGATGCAGTTGGGAAAGACACGGAAACTGAATAGAGTCACTGGGAGTAACAAGAGAAGTCCTAGTTTTTATGCTACAAAACTGAATTCAAACCACAGCATTTCCTATGCCGACGAGGATGGGATTCGAACCCACGCGTGCAGAACACAATGGATTAGCAGTCCATCGCCTTAACCACTCGGCCACCTCGTCTGCAGACAGGTATCCGAGTCTCCCATCTCTGGGGCCTGAAATCTTATTCCTGCCTCTGGGGGCTCGCCTCTCCTGAAGTCTGCACATTTAGGGGAACCCCTTCAGCACTGGAAGGAAGACTCGCAAATCGGAGACGGATCTTCTCCCCTGCGTGATTGCCCGACCCTCCTCCCTCTACTGAGCGGCCTTGAATTCTTCCTGTTCCCAGGAGCCGCGGTAATACCGTCCAGAATTAAGGTACCTGGATCCATCGCAAAAATCTCCGCGAGACGGTTGTGCTGCCCAGACTGGGCGGCCTCGAAACGTCGTGCCAGAAGCCTCTCCGCTTCAAGCCCCAAAGAGATTGCTCCTTCTCTGACTTGAACGCCGAAGGTCGACTGTAGCTTAATACAGGAGTTAATAAGAGAAGGGAAAGGGGAAGGGAAAAAAAAAAAAAAAAAGCTCCTTTCTGACCCCGACGTGATTTGAACACGCAACCTTCTGATCTGGAGTCAGACGCGCTACCGTTGCGCCACGAGGTCGGCCGGCCAAACGCTTGCTCAGTTCTCCCTATGACCACTGTACGGCCAGGAGGCCACAGGAGGCCAGGGTCTGCTGATCGAGGCACGGATGGGCACCTAGGGAATTTCTGCCCCCTCTGAACACCTGCGGGGTCGTATCTGATCTCTCTGAGCGGCCCTGTAGGACGAGTCGGGCGGGTGGCACCCCAGGGCAGTGACTGGGATCCCGGCTCAGCGGTCTGTCCCGCCCGGCCCCCAGCGTCCTGCCAATGCCCAGAAAGAGGGTCCCGAGCTGATCACCAGGTGAACCCTAAGCTCACAGCCCAGCGGTAACGGACCTGCCTAGAAACAGATGGAAGGGTAGGAACCAGACGGGACGTGATGGAGCAGTGCCAGAGCCTAGGGCACCTGAAGGGGTGAGAGATTCGCTCCCCCAGCAGCAGGTCTCCTCACCGGTTGTACTTTTACAATCGCCTGCGGAGCCTTCGAATGTAGGCACGCACAACCCCCGGGTTCGGCAACTCCGATTTAAACGATCCAAAGAAGAGCTCTGACATCGGTATGTAAAATTTTGAAAAATATCGGTATTTCAACTGTTTCAGAGCACATAAATCTTGTATATATTTTGATGAGTTTTGATAAATACATAAACCTGCGTAACTCACAATTCTTTAAAAATATATGACATTTCCATCACTCAACGTTCTTGCATGTCCCTTCTCTACGGATCCCCACTCCTCCTTTGTTGTTCTAATCTCTGTTCTAATTTTTTCTGTTTTTGTGAGTCGGAGTCTTGCTCTGTCACCCAGGCTGCAGTGCAGTGGCAGGATCTCAGCTCACTGCAAACTCCGCCTCCCGGGTTCAAGCGATTCTTCTGCCTCAGTCTTCTGAATAGCTGGGACTACAAGCCCGCACCACCACACCCGACTAATTTTTGTATTTTTAGTGGACACGGGGGTGGTGGGATGGTGGTGGCGTTCAGCATGTTGGTCAGGCCAGTCTAGAACTCCGGACCTCGTGATCTGCCTGCCTCTGCCTCACAAATTGCTAGTATTATAGACAGACATGAGCCACTGCACCCGGCCTCTATTCTAATTTTGACCACCACAAACATCGGTATTTTCTTTTTCTTTTTCTTTAATATAAAGATGGGGTTTCACCATGATGGCCAGGCTGGTCTTGAACTCCTGACCTCAGGTGATCCACCCACCTCAGCCTCCCAAAGTGCTGGGATTACAGGCGTGAGACACCGGGCCCGGCCAACGTCGGTATTTTTTAAAGCTCCCCGGGTGAGACAAGATTGGAAACTGCTGAAGGGAAACACCTGGAGCTGGAAGACACCTCATTTGTTTCTTGAAAAATGAAAGGAGTTCAACAGGCCAAGATGGCACAAGAGGTTGTGGCTGTTATCTCATTCCTTCCCATCCAAGCCAAATTTGTACACAGCGGCTCTCTGGAAAGTTATCAGGGACCACAGAGGTGTCAAAGGCCACAGACATTCTCAGGCCTGGCCTTAACCAACTTCAGGCAACATCTTCTCCAAGAGCCTTCATTTCCCATGGTTGCCTTGACACTAGTTTGCTGGCCCTTCCCAAGTGGCTCCTCTCTCCCCTCTCTTCCTTCCTTCCTTCCTTCCTTCCTCCCTCCCTTCCTCCCTCTCTCTCCTTCCCTTCCTTTCTTTTTTTTCTTTTGTGACAGAGTCTCACTCTTGCCTAGGCTGGAGTGCAGTGGCCCGTTCTTGGATGACTGCAACCTCTGCCTCCTGGATTCAAGCGATTCTCTTTCCTCAACCTCCCAAGTAGCTGGGATTACAGATGTGCACCACCACGCCTGGGTAATTTTTTTATTTTTTTTTTAGTAGAGTCGGGGTTTCACCATGTTGGATAGGCTAGTCTGGAACTCCTGACCTCGGGTGATCCACCTGCCTCAGCCTCTCAAAGTGCTGGGATTACAGGCATGAGCCACATTGCCCAGCTCCAGTCTCTTTTTTGGTTCTCTCCGTAAATCCTCGGTTTCCTCTGGTAAGGTTTTCTCTCCTCATGCTACACACGTTCTATGGACTCAGCTATTTCCTGTGTGATGAGGGCTCCTGAATCTGGCTCCCACTTCTTGACTCAGATTTCTAGTGCCTGCTGATACCTTCACTTGTCCCTGCCATACTTCTTCCAGTCTTTCTGCACTTCCAGAGAGTGGCCAGGCCCCGACTGGGAGATGCATCCTTGACTCTTCCCTCCCCCTACGGTCTTACTTCCAGCCACCACATCCTGTCAATTCTATTTTCTCAATAATAATCCCCTTGTTGACCGACCCTCCTTCCCCATCCCACTGACAACCCCTCAGCCTCTCTTGCTGGATTGTTGTAGCAGACTCCTCTCTAATCTCCCTGCATCTGGAATAGCCAGAGAATCATCTTTTTTTTTTTTTGAGACGGAGTTTCGCTTTGTCACCCAGGTTGGGGTGCAGTGGCCTGATCTAAGCTCACTGCAACCTCTGCCTCCCAGACTCAAGCGATTCTCCTGCCTCGGCCTCACGAGTAGCTGTGACTACAAGAGAGCCACCACCACACCGGGCTATTTTTTCCCCCTTGTATCTTTTTTTTTTTTTTTTTTTGAGACAGAGTTTCGCTCTTGTTACCCGGGCTGGAGTGCAATGGCGCGATCTCGGCTCACCGCAACCTCCGCCTCCTGGGTTCAGGCAATTCTCCTGCCTCAGCCTCCTGAGTAGCTGGGATTACAGGCACACACCACCATGCCCAGCTGATTTTTTGTATTTTTAGTAGAGACGGGGTTTCACCATGTTGACTGGGATGGTCTCAATCTCTTGACCTTGTGATCCACCCGCCTCGGCCTCCCAAAGTGCTGAGATTACAGGCTTGAGCCACCGCGCCCGGCCAGTTAATTTTTATATTTTTAGTAGAGACGGATTTTCACCATGTTCATCAGGCTGGTCTAGAACTCCTGACCTCAGGTGATCTGCCCGCCTTGGCCTCCCAAAGTGCTGGGATTACGGACATGAGCTACTGCGGGCCAAATTTTCAAAAATAAAGTTTAAGAACAAATGCCCCATTATTTTTATAGAATTATAATTGTAGCGTTTCCCTTTTCACAGCATGTAGTATCTTGCGGATTTGTTTGCATGTCTGTTTTTGATCTCCCTGATGAAAATCCACCTACTAGGTAATCAGTAAATACAAAAAATATTTGTTGAAGAAATGAGAAATGCCTCTTCGGCTTATTTATAGTTTAGACTGGCTAAAGGCACTGAGATGGGGAGTGAGGAAGAGGAAGCGATTGTTTTCCTGGGAAATGGGCCGGGAGGACCCTTGAGGATGGGACTTGTCTGAGCATTGCAAGAAAAGAGAGCTTTCCGACAGCGGGGACCCGCGCTAAGGCCCAAAGGTCCTGAGGTCACCGATGATAAGAGCTTTTCGGACTGTAGCTGGGTATTGTCAGAGGCCCAGCACCTCCAAGAGATAAAGAAATCTGATTTGAGTTTCCGTTCCAGTCAGCTCCAAGCCTCCCAGGGATGCAGGGACTGTCCATTCCCTTCATCCACTCCCACCCTTTCCGGTCCCCTTGCTCTGCCATTTTTTGCACTCTGCAAATCCCTCACCAAACTGAGCAAAGTTAGTCTGAGAGAAATCGGTCTTCCTCAAGGAAAGTTCAGGCCTGGGGTCCTCAGACATCCAGGGGCTCGGTGACAATCCGTGACTGCTGAGCAGTCTAGGGACACTGCCTCTCCACGTTCGGGACCCTTGTTTCTGAGGCTCAGCTTGGTGGGAAGCTAAAGGCACGCGGAGGAGGGGAAGGGGAGCGTGTCTGATTCTTCGGCATGGCGGGGACCGGGACCGCAGCCCGGCATGGCGGTGGCGGCGGCCTCAGGAGATCCACAATTGTCAGTGTAGTGGGGGTTGGGGCCGCTCCCGGCATGGGCAACCGCGGAAGCCGAGGTGCCCCCAGGCTAGGCCAGGGTCGGTTTCCGTTCGTCGGTCCTGCGCGGGCAGATCGGGCGCTGCGGAGCCGTGCCACCTCGCACCCTCTCAGGAACAAAGGGCTTGGCTGGGCGCGGGTACCCATCCATTGGGTTAGAATCGCCTTCGGGGAACCCCTGAGCTGCGCAAGCCAGAAGAGGCCAGCAGCAGCGGGAAAATGTACTGCTCTCGCGAGGTTTTCCAAGAACGCGGCGCCGCGCCCGCGTACGCGGTTACCAAGGTAACTGGGCGGTGCCTGAGCGGGCGGGAAGCAGGCGTTCGGCTAGGTTTTGTCCGCTTGCCGGGAGACTTCAGGAGCCGCGCTCTTTGAACTTCCGGCCTCTGAGACCGCCGCGCCTGTCCCCGAGGGCCATGGGCCGGGTCTCGGGGCTCGTACCTTCTCGCTTCCTGACGCTCCTGGCGCATCTGGTGGTCGTCATCACCTTATTCTGGTCCCGGGTAAGAGCCACGGCTGCCATCCGTCCGCCCTTATTCCCACCTCGGAGTGGTCCCAGCCCCACCTTGCCCCTCTCCCAGTGTCTTACCCACTTGAGTCTTCTCGTTCCCCGCCGCCCCCAGGCCTGCCTCGCCGCCCGCCTCTTTTTCACTTCTCTTCCTCTCTGCCCTGCTCCCAGGACAGCAACATCCAGGCCTGCCTGCCTCTCAGGTTCACCCCCGAGGAGTATGAGAAGCAGGACATTCAGTGAGCTCTCTCGGAATGGGCTGGTCAGAACGAAGAGGTGGTGGGAGTGGAGGGTTCTTAGAAGTCCAAGGGCCTGAGGCTGTCCACTTCCTTTCTGCAGGCTGGTGGCCGCGCTCTCTGTCACTCTGGGCCTCTTTGCAGTGGAGCTGGCCGGTTTCCTTCTAGGAGTCTCCATGTTCAACAGCACCCAGAGCCTCATCTGTATCCTTTCTGCCTGCCCTCCTTTCCCACACGACCCATTTTCATCAGGACTCCCTTCAGCCATCTGACACCCTAGTGTCTGCTGTAACCAGTCTCTCCAGTTCAGAGATCTTCAAACGTGTGCTAAATCCTGCTGTTTACTAGGCACTTAACATCCCAAAATGAGAGTAAAACAGTTTTTGGCTAGGCACGTTGGCTCATGTCTGTATTCCCAGCAGTGTGGGAGGCCCAGGCAGGAGGATCACTTGAGGCAACATAGTAAGACCCCATGTCTACAAAAATAATAGTGATAATAAAAACTCCACTGTTTTTTTTTTTTTTTTTTTTTGCCATGAGGAGGAGGCAGACACATATCTCTAATTCAGTGTGATAAGCACGGTGCTATAGGAGTGTGTAAAGAGGGGTGGGTGCGGTGGCTCAGGCCTTTACTTCAAGCAACTTTGGGAGGCCGAGACAGATGGATCATTTAAAGTCAGGAGTTTGAGACCAGCCTGACCGACATGGTGAAACCCCATCTCTACTAAAAATACAAAAATTAGCTGGGCGTAGTGGTGCACGCCTGTAACCCCGGCTACTCGGAAGGCTGAGGCAGGAAAATTGCTTGAACCTGGGAGGCAGAGGTTGCAGTGAGCCGAGATCGCGCCACTGCACTCCAGCCTGGGCAACAGAGTGAGACTCCGTCAAAAAACAAACAAAAGGCCGGGCACGGTGGCTGAAGCCTGTAATCCCAGCACTTTGGGAGGCCGAGCCGGGTGGATCACGAGGTCGAGAGATCGAGACCATCCTGGTCAACATAGTGAAACCCCGTCTCTACTAAAAATACAAAAAACAAACAAACAAACAAAAAACTAGCTGGGCGTGGTGGCGCGTGCCTGTAATCCCAGCTACTTAGGAGGCTGAGGCAGGAGAATTGCCTGAGCCCAGGAGGCGGAGGTTGCGGTGAGCCGAGATCGCGCCATTGCACTCCAGCCTGGGTAACAAGAGCGAAACTGCGTCTCAAAAAAAAAAAAAAGAGCCGGGCACGGTGGCTCAAGCCTGTAATCCCAGCACTTTGGGAGGCCGAGGCGGGTGGATCACAAGGTCGAGAGATCGAGACCATCCTGGTCAACATGGTGAAACCCCGTCTCTACTAAACATACAAAAAATTAGCTGGGCATGGTGGCACGTGCCTGTAATCCCAGCTACTCAGGAGGCTGAGGCAGGAGAATTGCTTGAATCCAGGAGGCGGAGGTTGCGGTGAGCCGAGATCGTGCCATTGCACTCCAGCCTGGGTAACAAGGGCGAAACTCCGTCTCAAAAAAAAAAAAAAAAAGAAAAAGAAAAAAGAAAACAAACAAACAAAAGGTAGAAAGCACAATGGGAACTCAGAAATGGCAAAGGAAATGAGGCACGTGGGTCAGAGAACTGTGGACCAAGAGTACTAGGACACTGGAGGCTGATTCCAGCAGAGCATGTCAATTCGCTGTCAGCACTCCTGTGTGGCATGGTAGGAGAGTCTACTCTTACCTCTCATCTGAAGGGTCCAGGCTGGCTTCTAGATGTGGGATAGGCTAGCCTGAGGTCCCATTTATGCAGTTACTTCTGGTCTCTCCTCATATGACCGTCCTACAACTCAGAAGTCAGGGCTGCTGACTCTAGCCCTTGCAATATGGTGAGGGAGCAAGCGATGAACCTGAGTGCAGATGCCAACCCCACCACTGACCTTTTCTGACCCATCACTATCTGTCGATCCAAAGACTTTCCTTAACTCTGGTGTCTTCCCAAGCCATTGGGGCTCACTGTAGTGCATCCGTGGCCCTGTCTTTCTTCATATTCGAGCGTTGGGAGTGCACTACGTATTGGTACATTTTTGTCTTCTGCAGGTGTGGTAACACCCAATATTTGGGGATGAGGGAGGAAGGTTTACCGTATATCTGAAAGTTTTCCCTCACCCGCCCCCATCCCCCATGCATGAGATCCTGTGGTCTTTTTCATCCCCCATCCCCATGCCACCTGCCCTACACTTTCATGGGTGGGGTCTCTGGTTTAGATATTTGTGTATTTACATAGAAAGGATTTCTGAATCTACCACCTGCCTCGGTAGTGCCCTTCCAGCTGTCACTGAAATGGCTTTATTCATCGCCATCTTTGGGCTGAAAAAGAAACCTTTCTGATCACCTTCCTGACGGTCGCAGGCTGCAGGGGAGGCCGCTTCGTATTCCTGGAAGAAGGAAGGTATAGGCTTCAGTCTTCCCCTCGGAAACTGCTTCTGCTGGAGGTTATGTGTTGGAATAATTACCTCTGAAGTATGGGATTATCAGCATTGTATTTAGTGTTTTGTAATAAAATATGTTTGTAGTAAGATCAAGACTTATATACAGTTTTCAGGGGACAATTGGGATGGCTTAACTATTAAAGAAAAAAACAACTACGCTGTTTTCTAGTCCTGCAGAACGTAAGATTCTTAATATCGCTTCTAGTTTGGTTATTACGGTAGACGTCTGGCGGAAGGCAGTGGGCGGGGATATTTAAATAAAAGTGCGTACAGTTAGAACGTCCAGCACGTAAGTTACTGGAGCATTCTGGGAAGAAATAATTTATTCCTTTTCTGTAGCCGAATGAAAAAAATTACTTTAAAAGAGGTGCAAACAAATATAGCAATACAATTAGAAGGAGGCTAAGTAATAAGGGTCCTCGTACCGTCGCGTTGTATAGTCACCCTAGCTTATAACGGAATCTTTTTCACTGAGTGCGGAATGCCCGTAGTATGGGAGGTATCGTCAGGTGGGATAATCCTTACCTGTTCCTCCTTTGGAGGACAGATAGAACATGATGATTGGAGAGGCATGAAACGTGATTAACGTCTCTGCGTAATCAGGACTTGCAACACCCTGATTGCTCCTATCTGATTTCTCCTGACGATCACCTTTCTTCTGCTTGTTTTGTGTAAAAGGTTAGAATTTGTGGAAGCTTATTATTGTGTTTGGGTTGTTGGGTTTTGCTAGAGGCTTTTAAATTGTCGTGAATAATCGCTGAGGTTCGTCTGAGCTTAAAAATTGGGATTTGTCTTTCTGTTATTACTTCCTGGAATTAAGGAGTTGCAGTAATGCAAAATGGGCGTCTCTTTTTCTTTATTCTTCGAAGCTTACCTTTTCTCAGGAAACGCTGCACGTCGGTAACCGTAATGTTGTACCTATACGGTGGTTCCCCTTAGAATGTACAAAAACAGTATTTATTCAGTAGGAAAACTGTGTTTCGCTTGCTTACTTGCTTGCTTTCCTCTTCTCCACCCCCTGCTTTTGGGGGAAAATCTCGCTCTGCTGGAGTGCACCGCTCACTGAAACCTCAGCCTCCCGAAATCTACAGATTCTGCTGCCTTAGCCTTCCAGGTAGCTTGGATTACAGGCAGGTGCCACGATACCCGGCTATTTTTTTTTTAATTTTTGTTATTACAGGGTTTCACCACGTTGGCCAGGCTGGCTGGTCATGAACTCCCGACCTCAGGTGATCTGCCCCTCTCGGCCTCCCAAAGTGCCGGGATTACAGGCATAAGCCACTGCTTCTGGCCTTTTTATTTGTAAATTTTTTGCTGTCCATACTTTATACCAGTACAATTTATCATACAGTTATGTATAGATATATTTGTTTTTGGAGAGTTGGTTGTTAAACATCTACCAGTACACCCCCAAGGAACTGCTTGTCACCAATGACTTCTCATTCCCAAATCCAGACTCACTCCTCAGACTTGAACTTGACCTCTCTTCAGCGTATGGTATGTTGACCACCCTCCCTCTTTTTTTTTTTTTTTTTTTTTTTTTTGAGACATTCCCACTCTGTTACCCAGGTTAGAGTCCAGCGGTGGGATTATGGTTCACTGCAGCCTTGAACTCCCAGGCTCAGATGATCCTCCCGAGTAGCTGGGATGACAGGTGAGCACCGCCATGCCCATAAGTTTTAAAATTTTCTGTAAAGACAAGTTCTCACTGTGTTGCCCAGGCTGATCCCAAATTCCTGGGCTCAAGCCGTCCTACCTGCTAGGCCTCCCAAAGTGCTAGGATTACAGGCATAAGCCACAGCGCCTGGCCCACTCCCCTCTTTTGCACTTTTTGCTTCCTTAGTTTTGGAACAATGGTTCCCCTGGTTTGCCTACCACTGTTCTGGTTGTTCCTTCTCACATTCATTCAATAAATAGTACCTGCAGTATGTCAGTTACAGGGGACATAATACTGGGTTGTCTCCTCTGCTTGCTCTGTAAGTGAGGGTAATCACTACTCCTCGGGTGACTTCATCCACCTCTTGTTTTCTTTTTTTTTTTTTTGGTTTTTTTTTTTTTTTTTTTTTTTTTTTTGAGACGGAGTTTTCGCTTGTTACCCAGGCTGGAGTGCAATGGCGTGATCTCGGCTCACCGCAACCTCCGCCTCCTGGGTTCAGGCAATTCTCCTGCCTCAGCCTCCTGAGTAGCTGGGATTACAGGCACGTGCCACCATGCCCAGCTAATTTTTTGTATTTTTAGTAGAGACGGGGTTTCACCATGTTGACCAGGATGGTCTCGATCTCTCGACCTCGTGATCCACCCGCCTCGGCCTCCCAAAGTGCTGGGATTACAAGCTTGAGCCACCGCGCCCGGCCCCACCTCTTGTTTTCTGACTTCAACTAGATGCTGCTTGTTTCCAGATTCCAGCTCGCTCCTGTGAGCCCTAGCCCAGGGCAAGGACTACAGGAACAAGCTCTGCAGTCAGACAGCCTGCTGGGTCCAAGTGCGGTTTTTTTTCTGTTCTTGGTTGTGTGGTGGGCAGGAGGTCACTTTCCCTCTCTCTTCCTCAGTTCCCTCATCCACACTCACTTTTTTTTTTTTTTTTGAAATGGAGTCTTGCTCTGTCATCCAAACTGGAGTGCAGTGGCGTGATCTGCAAACTGCACCTCCCAAGGTTCAAGCGATTCTCCTGCCTCATCCTCCAGAGTAGCTGGGATTACAGGCACCTGCCACTGCGCCTCGCTAATTTTTGTGTTTTTAGTAGAGATGGAGTTTCACCATCTTGGCCAGGCTGGTCTTGTGATCCACCCACCTCTGCCTCCCAAAGTGCTGGGATTACAGGCATGACCCACCGCACCTGGCCACGCTCACATTTTTTTTTTTTTTTTTTTTTTTGAGACGGAGTTTCACTCTTGTTACCCAGGCTGGAGTGCAATGGCGCGATCTCGGCTCACCGCAACCTCCGCCTCCTGGGTTCAGGCAATCCTCCTGCCTCAGCCTCCTGAGTAGCTGGGATTACAGGCACGCACCACCACACCCAGCTAATTTTTTGTATTTTTAGTAGAGACGGGGTTTCACCATGTTGACCAGGTTGGTCTTGATCTCTCGACCTCGTGATCCACCCGCCTCGGCCTCCCAAAGTGCTGGGATTACAGGCTTGAGCCACCGCGCCCGGCTTTTTTTTTTTTTTTTGAGACAGAGTTTTGCTCTTGTTACCCAGGCTGGAGTGCAATGGCGCGATCTCGGCTCACCGCAACCTCCGCCTTCTGGGCTCAGGCAATTCTCCTGCCTCAGCCTCCTGAGTAGCTGGGATTACAGGCACACGCCACCATGCCCAGCTAATTTTTTGCACCTTTAGTAGAGACGGGGTTTCACCATGTTGACCAGGATGGTCTCGATCTCTCGACCTCGTGATCCACCCGCCTCGGCCTCCCAAAGTGCTGGGATTACAGGCTTGAGCCACTGCACTCGGCCTAAAACTATAACATTTTAAACAAATGTGAGCCTGTAGCTGCTTCGGTTGCTTGTGTGGAAATGAAGCTATGCCAGAGGCAAGCATAGTTGAAAAACAGAGAAACAGATTCCCGATGATATCTTTTGAGTACCTGGATCCTGCTGATCTAGCTGTGTTCTAGTTACAAGAGTCTTCCTTTTAGTTTAATCTGTTTGAGGAAGGTTGGCAAGTCTCTTGGTCATTATGTCCATCACAGCAAAGATCATGCTGTTTTAACAATCCCTTTTCTGTTTATTATTGTAGCTTCTGATATCAGCACAATGCCTGGCATTGTAGAACGGAAGAGCCCTCACTTAACAAATGAGAAAAATGAGGTCCCAGGAGAAAGGCATTTGCTCTAGGACACCATGCAGAGTGGGAGAGCTCTGGACTTGACCACTCTTGGACTTGAACCCAAGTCTCCTGGCTGTTAGGCCAAATCAGTTGACTCAGTTCAACAAATGTTTATTGAACACCAGAGCCAGGTTCTAGGCTTGGCATGTAATATGGAAAGTAATAAAGAAGATGTCAGGTGGGTGCAGTGCCTGTAATCCCAGAACTTTGGGAGGCCGAGGTGGGCGGATCACCTGAGGCCAGGAGTTCGATACTAGCCTGGCCAACATGGTGAAACCCCCGTCTCTACTAAAAATACAAAAATTAGCTGGGCTTAAAGGCAGGCACCCATAATCCCATCTACTCAGGAGGCTGAGGCAAGAGAATCACTTGAACTCAGAGGCAGAAGTTGCAGTGAGCCGAGATTGCACAACTGCACTCCCACCAGAGTGAGACTCAGTCCCCCGCCAAAATAGGAAGATGTGGCTTTTTGACAACCTCTCTATCTGGAGAGGCATTCCTCCCTCTTTCAAAACAAAAGGAGCTTGTTTTTTGTTTCTTTGAGACAGAGTTTCACTCTTGTTGCCCAGGCTGGACTGCAATGGCACAATCTCGGCTCACCGCAACCTCCGCCTCCCAGGTTCAAGTGATTCTCCTGCCTCAGCCTCCTAAGGAACTGGGGTTACAGGCACGTGCCACCATGCCCGGCTAATTTTGTACTTTTAGTAGAGGTTGGGTTTCTCCATCTTGGTCAGGGTGGTCTAGAACTCCCAACCTCTGGTGATCCGCCCACCTTGGCCTCCCAAAGTATTGGGATTACAGGCATGAGCCACCACGCCCGGCCAGAAGGAGCTTGTTAAACCCAGTGAATCTCTACTGAATGGAGGGTTGGAGAGTGAGGGACTGGAACCAGGAGTCCTTCCAGGCATCTAATCCCAGGAGACTCTAATCTGCCTATGTCTTCTCTCGCCCACATAGGGCTCTGTCATGTGGTACCCCCACCACCCACACTGCTCTGCTTTCCAGTGGCCAGGGCCTGGGCCTGCTCTGTTGCTGTGACAGGAGCCGGTTTCCTGGTCAAACCAGTAACCAGTGATCAGTGCTTCACCAGTGCAACTAGGACTGTCCGTACAGAACACTGGGCACATAGGCTCTGCCCAAACCCTTCCCATTAGCAGTCTACCTCCTCCTGTGCACTCACCATCGTTCATTATTCATTTGCCTGCCTTGTTGCTGGCACTGTACTTGGTACTTTTTCAGAGAGAACTGCGCATATTAAAAAGATACCACTTTAGGTGTTTATATTATGCTTTAATACAAAAAGAGACACATTCTTGGCTGGGTACACTGGCTCATGCCTGTAAATCAGCACGTTGGGAGCCTAGACAGGCAGATCACTTGACGTCAGGAGCTCACAAACAGCGTGGCCAACATAGTGAGACTCCATCTCTACTAAAAATGGAAAAATTAGCTGTGTGTGGTGGTGCACACCTGTAGTCCCAGCTACAGGCCGAGGCAGGAGAATCGCTTGACTCTGGAAGGCAGAGG